TTGACCACGTTGGTTTAAGTTTATTTTTTAAATTTTAAATAAAATTTATATATTTATACATTTAACCACTGAACAAAAACAATAATTGTTTTATGGTTGTGAGTTTTTTATAGTCCTAAATAAATCTGGGAAATGAAAAATGTACACTTATCAAAAGCTTCAGCCTCTAGAGGATAAAATGGTTTGGCCAAGGGGTGGGGGGCAACAATTTATTTGGCCCCCTCTGGCCCCCTTTGGTCACACCCCTGACTGAGGGGAGGAGTTCAAAAGTTGCTCCAGAAAACTTTAATTTCAAGAAGTAAATGCTGGCGCGGCGCCAACACAGAAACTAACTAAAGAAACTCGCCGGCAGCGGAGACAGACCGAAGGACACCAGATCCTGTCCAACTGGACCGCAGGGACAGACAGAGAGACAGGAAGACTAAACTAATGAGAAACATGATGAACACCTGCAGGAGCAGGTGAGAGGGGGCGTGGCCAACTGATGGAAAGGTACAAACAGAAAAACCATGGAAGGATCAGAGAACATCCTGAAAAGAATGAAATAAAAAGGTTTTAAACAAAACAACTGGACTGAAGACGTCTCGCTTCTCATCCGAGGAGTTTCTGAGATGAGGTGAAACGTCTTCAGTCCAGTTGTTTTGAACCTTTTTATTCACCACGTCCTGAATGAGAATCTTCATCAGCGACTCCTCAAAACAACAAACCAGAATCCAGCTAAACCCAAAGAGACACAAACATCAGACTGAACTCACGTTTCAACATGAATTCAAATGACTTTTCAGGTGGGACTTAAAAAACGGCGGCACAGTGGTTCAGCTGGTAGAGCTTTTGCCTCTCAGCAAACAGGTCGCCGGTTCAAATCCCAGCCTTTCTGGGTGGAGTCTGCATGTTCACTGTGCTGCGTGGGTTTTCTCCAGATACTCCACTCGGACACATGCATGTTAGGCTGAGTGGTAACTCTCAGTTGTCTCTTTGTGTCCCTGTGATGGACTGGAGACATGTCCAGGGTGTCCTCTGCCTCTCACACAGTTGGACATGGACACCAGTGACCCCTGTGACCTGAAAGGGATGAAGCAAGTAAAAATACTGGATGGATGGATGTTGGATGGATGGATGGATGGATGTTGGATGGATGGATGTTGGAAGGATGGATGGATGGATGTTGGATGGATAGATGGATGGATGGATGTTGGATGGATAGATGTTGGATGGATAGATGGATGGATGGATGTTGGATGGATGGATGGTGGGAGGGTGGTTGGATGGATGGATGTTGGATGTTGGATGATGTTGGATGGATGCTGGATGGATGTTGGATGTTGGATGGATGTTGGATGGATGGATGGATGTTGGATGTTTGTTGGATGGATGTTGGATGGATGCTTTTGGATGTTGGATGGATGGATGTTGGATGGATGGATGTTGGATGGATGTATGGATGTTGATGGATGGATGTTGGATGGATGTATGGATGTTGGATGTTGGATGGATGGATGTTGATGGATGGATGTTGGATGGATGGATGTTGGATGGATGGATGGATGTTGTCAGCTGATATACAAAAAGCCCCACGAGTGTTGTTCGGCCTGCTTCCTGTGAGCTGCAGATGATCGGTGCGTCTTGTTGGAGCGCTCCGTCTCATTTCGGTGAGATGAGTTCCATGAGCCTCTCATGTCTTCACGCAGCGCGTTCTGTCCCCACCTGGTGGGACTGTGGCGTTGGTTTGGTAGTTCTGGAGGGGACGGGCGGGGGGTGTCACATCCCGGTTCTTTCTGTGGTGTGGCTCTGAATTATAAGTAATCCAGCCTAATTCCTCCATAATCTGGGGTGTGAGCAGGAGCTGAATGAGGAGATGAAGAACCGCGGGAACGTTTCCTGGCAGAGGAAAAGAGTGGAAGAACGCCAGAAAGGAGACCAGAGGAACAACCAGCTTCCTGTCACGTTCTCAGCCCAAATATAAGTTTCTGTCGTGAAGGATGAAACAATGATCATGTTTTTACAACAGGGATCTTTTGAAACATTTATTTTTAAAGCTTTAGATGAAGCCGGTGAAGTTCTGCTTTGGGTGACAGCAGCGAGTCCTGCAGGTGAAAAGGGTCAAACCCGTCGTCTTCCTGCTCATCTTCTGTCTGAACAACGAACAGGATACAAAGAAACAAAAACAAGTCTCGTTTGAGCGTACATGGCAACATTTCTTGGGCTTCCATCCAACAAAGCTGTCCTGTGTGTGGACATGAATCTAAAAACAGCCCTGAGGGTCGGCTGCTTCTTCTGAACTTTGACCTCTGCGGCTGTAAACTCGGAGCAGTGAAGGGTACCAAGCGGAGCTCCCATATCCTGCTCCGTCAGGCTCCTTTCTGTAAAATAATTGTTCTGCAGTGAGATAGGTCATGTCTGCATGAAGGATATCTCACGCTTGTCAGTGGATGTCTCTTTCTGCCTCCACTGATAAAAAAGGATGTAGCAACGTCTTCTTGTAGCTTCTGACAGAGGACACTTGGGCCTGGATCCATCCCTGCAGCCCGAGAGAGCTGCTTTTTAAACCCATCTTTAATTCATAGAGAGTCCACTCATCCCTGACACGGCCTTCAAACAGAGACATCACTTCTCTGCTTCCCGTCCGGATCAGAGGGGACGGACTGCAGGAGGTCAGGAAGGCATGCGTTACTAAAGACAGAAGCCTGCAGCTCGTCCCTGCTTCAGCCAGAACCTCTTTGGGACGTATTCTCATAAACGTTTCATGGTTTCTGCATCCACCTGCTCCTGAGCCTTCACCCTTTCAGGATCCCCTCCATCTGCCATCCACATCTGAAGCCTGAGCTTAAAACTCGTCTGGCTCCGGGTCTCAGGAGGACACCCCACCACCTGCCTGCCAGGTGGGAAGGTCCTGCAGGACATCCTCTCCAACGAGCTTTATGGGAAAAAACGTGTTTTACTCAGAGAGCAGCAGGGAAGCTGCTTTACCCAAGTTTTACTTGTTTCCTCTAAATGTTTGGTAAGTTTAGACAAACTCAATGAAAACACGCAGTTGGACCGGTCCAAGCAGTGATGATCCGACACGCTCACACCCTCAGCTGGGCGGAGGTCCTGCCTGCATCATCGTGCTTTCATGCAGTGATTCATTAGAACATTAAGGCTAACCACAACAGTTCAGCAGAAATGTTGAAGGGTGCTGGCTCAAACCAGGGCCAAATGAAATGTTGAAGCTGCTGCAGGGGCTCCTTGTGGTCACCATGGTAACCACAGACCAGTGTCTGTCACTCCCCGACAACCAAGTTATGTAGAGGCAGACAGCAACAGACTGAAAAGTAAGTCTTAGACGGTCGCTGTTGATCCGTGCAGGATATGATGAGATAAAAAGAGCCTTCACTTCCAGTTTGAAGAGTTAAAGAGCATTCACTTCCTGTTTGAAGAGTTAAAGAGCCTCTATTTCCAGTTTTAA